TGCGAAAGTTTGGGAACCCCTTGCAGAATCTGTGAAAATGTGAATAATTTTAACAAAATAAACCAAATGCATGTTTTTTTATTTTTTATTTAGTACTGTCCTGAGTAAAATATTTTACATAAAATATATTTACATATAGTCCACAAGACAAAAAAAAATGCTGAAATTATTAAAATAACCCCCTTCAAAAGTTAGGAAAAACAAAACAAAAAACAAGTTAGTACTGCCCTTCGGAAGCAACAGAAGACACTTGCATGTTTCCCGGAAGACAAATTAAGTACAATTTACCTTGATCTTTAAATTCAGAACGTTTTGAAGGGGGTTATTTTAATAATTTCAGCATTTTTTTTTGTCTTGTGGACTATATGTAAACATCTTTTATGTAAAATATCTTACTCAGGACAGTACTAAATAAAAAATAACATGAATTTTGTATGCTCTCTCTTATTTTGTTAAAATTATTCACATTTTCTGCAAGGGGTTCCCAAACTTTAGCGTGTGTGTGTGTGTGTATGTATGTATGTATGTATGTATGTATGTATGTATGTATGTATGTATGTATGTATGTATGTATGTATGTATGTATGTATGTATGTATGTATGTATGTATGTATGTATGTATGTATGTATGTATGTATGTATGTATGTATGTATGTATGTATGTACATCTTTTATGTAAAATATCTTACTCAGGACAGTACTAAATAAAAAATAACATGAATTTTGTATGCTCTCTCTTATTTTGTTAAAATTATTCACATTTTCTGCAAGGGGTTCCCAAACTTTAGCGTGTGTGTGTGTGTGTGTATGTATATATATATATCTCTTTCATCACTTTTTCTTTTTCTGCCCAGTAAAAAAAAAAAAAAAACTACCTACCGTTCTTTCATCTGCACTAAGCTGTATTTTGGACTCTGGATCATCTGGCTTCTCGATCAGCTGACTGCCGGTAATGGGTTCCAGAGCTCCTTCATCCTGAGAGCTGCTCTCTCTGTGGTGAAAGAACAGGCTCTTACTGGGCATGGGTAGGAACCAAGGGGCAACAAAGGCTATGCAGGAGGACACCAGTGTGATGATGCTCAAGTAAAACAGAGGCACCTGGGCTACAGACACCAGAATCTGTCCGATGAGTGAGCCAATGGCTGAGCCCAACAGTGTGACACTGCGGCAAAAACCAGTCACCCTCTGATAATGAGATGGCTCCACGACACTGTAGATGTAGGAGTAGTAGGCAACTTCAGTGGCAGTTGCCAGACCAAAAAAGAACTCCAATAACTGCATGGTCCTCACACTCTGGGCTTTCACAAGCAAAGCATATGTCACTATGAAGCTGGCCGCCTGGACAATGAGCACAGGCTTATAGCGAAGGTAATCTGTGGCCAGGAAAACAGGGAAAAGCAGCACAAGGTAGGAATATGTCCAGAATGGATAGATCTCACTCACAACCTGTGATAAAAGTTGAAGTAGTTGGTCAACAATAAATAAGAGAGCTTCTGATAAAAAATAAAAATAAAAATTAACTCCAAAAAAATCATGTAACGTATTTTACTTAAGAGCTTCAAAACATGTGTACTAAATGTGTACTTCAATACGTGTCACATGTCCTAAATGTGAGTGTACACATTTCAATTAAGTGAGTCAAAATACAATTAAATACAATATAAAAGTAAAGTATGTCAAAATATCATTAGATTAATTATTTATTTATTTATTAATTATTAAAATATTTTGGCGGACATCTTATGACCTGAATTAACCTTAGACACTTACTGACCTTGAGTCAGGAGGGTCTGCAATTTTCATTTTATTTTTTTAATAAATCATATTGGTGGCACACACAACATAGATATGACAAATTCTGAGAAACTACTCAATGAGGTTCTTACCAAGAATTGCATTTTTTAATGATTTTTTTCTTCATTATGATATACCAGAACAGTTGTGCTACCTTGAAATTTTAGTTTTTTTGCAAAACTATTCAAACTGACAACCTACAATTAGCAATTCTTTAAAAGACCGCTACTAACCACACAAACACTCTCGGAAGCCTAAAAAAATCTTGTGACGCAGATTTGGTAATTAATGCAGGATTTTGCTTTAGTGAAAAGATTAAACTTCTAGGATTAGACAAATAGCTGGCAGATTCCCATCTATGGGGGCGGGGGGCACTCTTACACCCAAGTATATATTCTTCACAATATATTATTTACATCTTTTTCTAAACATGTAGATTTTTTTAAGCGAGTGAGTAACAGAATATATAGGCTATGTAGCAACAAAAAAAAAACTTGATTACATTTATTTTTATTTTATCTTATTAATTTATCTTATTTCATGATTACATTCAGAACCGATATTTCGCTTTCTGTTAAAGCCCTTTAGTTATTGAAGTTACTTTTCAAAGACGTCTGACATCACTTCACCGTACGCTTACATCACCCTTCAAGCACATTTACGTTACCTCTGTCTCCGTCAGGTTTTTATCAGGTCCCATCAAAAACGGGGTTAGAAAAGGTTCCAGTGGTCTGTGGCTGCAGAAAAATCCATAAATACATAGTAAAACGGTAGGGTAAAGCCATGGTTCAGACATACTCGCTTGCGCCTATTGACCTTCTTGCAACGAACAATGCAGGAACATTTTGCAACAACGCTCTCGCTCACCGGTTTTAACGCGAGTCAAAGGGACAAGCGGCGCGGGAGAGTGACGTCAGGTAACAAGCCAATGAGAGCGCTTTCCGTTGACACGCCCCCCTCAGACAAAGATGTGCAAGAATTTGCAGGGAATTTACACATTCTAATTATTTGAAAGAAATGGTTTTTATAGAACACCTCAAGGAAATGTTTTACTGTTTGTCATCATGATTCATGAAATATTCCATGGCATTATTGTCAAATTATTGTTTCCAGTTGATAGGGCTAGGCAAGAACTTTGAACATAAGGTACAAAAAATATCAACAGAATTAAAAGAGTGTGAGAAATAGACCTCAGTCAGGGTACATTTACTACATACTCAGGTACTCAGGTCAGGGTAGTGTCATATTTAATTTTTTGACACGAATGATTATGAGGCTGAGAGAGTGTGTTAAACCTTGGTTGATTCTCAATAAGAATGTTTGTAGATGTATCAAAAATTGGTTTGTAACAAGTGACTATGGTAATGCTGTTTTTGGAATTGTGGAATCATCCTCCTACATTTTCTTATTACTGTATGTTGAATATTGTTGATGCAGAATTTACTTACAGTGTCATAAATATTAAGTCACTGACTCACCAAAGTTTTAATGGCCCAGCATGCACACACACACAAGCAGACACAGTACATATGCCTACCTGATTTGGTTTAAGGCTATATTTTACAATATTATACATAGATTTCTGACCCAAAACAGTTATGGTTTATTTGCTTCAGTCTTGGCTGTACAATGACCTGCTTGTGGACCAGATCTGGCAAACAGGAGTGCATTGCCAAAATGCTACCATTCCATGCAGCATGTGGGCCATATGAACAGGAGTAAAGTGTGAAAGTCCTGGGCTAGAGTACAAATAAACTGTGACACACAATAAGCCCAGGTTTGGTTTATTTGGTCTGTTCCTAGCTGCATATAGGCACTGATTTATGTTTTTGCCAGTGGGTGACCACCCTCAATATACAATACCTCCATTACATTAAGAATAGATGTTTATTCTAGCTTTACAGAAAGTCTTTTCTCCTATCTGCCAAAATATATAATCAATATCAAATAATGGTTGGATTTTGGCTTTGTGAGTGTTGTGGAGTCAATGGATCAGTGGAACATTCTGAAATTTCCACTCTATTACAGTAAGTATATAGTGAAAGACAAAACTTATTAGAGGAGTTGAGCAATAGTACCACAATCTATTACCACAGTTCCTGGAATGTACATTGTTAACAGTTTGTATGTGTGTGTGTGTGTGTGTGTGTGTGTGTGTTGACATTACTGGTAGGCAAATTAAACTACTTTTTTTCTGAAAACGGTTTCTTAAAACCAACAAGGCCAAAATTGCCTTTTGAAAGAAACACATGTAAATTTAGCATATTAAAGCATTATATTATAGTTTGCTGTCTTTAAAGGCTGTGCCCTCCGAGGGTCACATTTGTTGGATGCATACATCTTTAAAGGGAAGATTTTTTTTTTTTTGTACAAATATTATTCAGAATCAGAATATATTTTTGTGTGTGTGTGGGTGGGAGTGCTCTGTGTGTGGTTGTGTGTGTTTAACAGAAGAAAGAAACTCACTGGAACAACTTGAAGCTGAATAAATTGTTGATGAATTTTAATTTTATAATGAAATATCCCTTTAAGCCTGATATCAGAAAAGTACCATTTCATTCTAAAGAAATGACAGTAATTTAGCCTACACCTCAAGAGGAGGAACAGTCGGTTTTATAATGGATACTTTTCTGAAATTAGACATCCTCGATGACAAACTTTTAACCTCGGGCGCGACTTCGAATGAGACACAAGTGTGAAGGATCCGTGTAACGTTACATGGAGAAAGAGCTGAACACACGAGTCTGAGAAAGTATAGTGTCTTTGCTCCATGCTAGCAGAAGGTGGCAGTAATGAGCTATTTTAGTTTGCCCCACGCCGGAAACAGCAAAAATTGTTCCATGGGAAATTCGCCTCTGTCGTTCGATAGTAACGGATACATTATTTGGATTACGTAATTAGATTACAAAAATAAAGAATCTGCAAATAGTATATGGTACGTTTTATTTATTACACATGAATCAGCAAGTGTAATTTACTGTTTTTGTTTGTACGTTTTATAAGAGCGGTCCACGCCGGAGCCTCGTGTGAAGATGGAGCGGTCTCGTTTAGCTTTTGACCACTGGATGCACAAACACCACTTCACATTCAGGGACACAATAGGGAGAAACATTACTGTTCAGTGCAACCTCTGCCTCCCAAAGATCAACATCTTATCCACTGCAAGGGACTCGACGTCTAATCTAAAGAAGCATTTGGAGGTAAGTTACATTTGCTCGTTTTCTCAATTTAACACCCATCGATTGCTTTTTTATTGTGTTTTTGAGTTTGTGGGGCAGGTATGCAAAATTAAACTATTTTTGGTAGATTCCCGGTGGGGTACAGATAGAAGCTTTTGTTACACTCCTAAATGTGAATCCAAGAAAATAATATATGATCACATTTAGTGGCTTATAAACACACGTAGGCACTGATTTTCACTTTTAGCTGTTTGTCAGGCGAAGTTTTAAGCGAAACGTGGGACAGACTATCAACAAAGTGGGAGTGGTTTTGAGTTTATAGTAAAAAAAATTTTTATGAACAGTAACGTTAATAAGTTAGACGTTAGAGTGTTAAATTGGGTCTAGTGTTAACGTATAATATAATATCTAATCATAGAATGAAAAAGCTTCATCTGTAATCGATTGGTGTAGGTGAGCAGGACTGTTCCTATTGTTTTTTATAACTCTTGTTCCGCAAACTCTTTAATTAAACTGTCGACATTATAATGATTTAAATAAAACACGTTAGTAACATTAATTTGTTAGGGGAAAATGTTGTTGTTATTAATGTAATACGTGGTCACTTGGGAATGTTTGGTAATACCGCGTGTACTTCTCATGGTTTGTTTATTGTGCTTTGCAGAAGAAAAAAAATGGCGCTTATATGTCACTATTATAAGTGATTCGGCAACGACATCTTACTGTATGTTTGTAAAATAAAGTCTAAAACTATCGAAACATGCATATCCTCTGTAGATTTACATTAAAAAAAGAAGCAAATGCTCGCCTGAGAAAATGGCGGACGGCGGCAGTTGCCATTGCCATGGTGGATTGGTCCATTAGCCTACATTAAGGCGGGCTTAGCGAAGTGTTTAACTTTGTTAAATGAAAAATGCTGTCTTGTCTTCGAAATCACCTCCATTCCCTATATAGTGAATATCATATAGTGTACTACACGAGAAAGGAGTGTATGGAAATTGCATTGAGAATTCAGACAATGATGTAAACATCGTGCGCTGGAGAGGACTCGAACATACTTAAGTGAAAAAAAAGTATGGATACTAAGTGAAAATTTGACTCAAAAGTCAAAAACATGCTTTAGTGAAAGAAAAAAAAAAAGTACAACTTTAAATTGGTATTTAAAAAAAGAAGTAACCTAGCAAGCATAAAACTGAGAAGTTTCTTGTTTAAGCATTTTGAATTATTTTCTTAATGCAAAGTGAATTAATTTCATAAAATGTTCTGTCAAACAGACATAGAAAGGTTTTGTTGTTTTATTCACAGAAAAAAAAAAAGTACAGTGGGACACAAACACATTCTAAAACAGCGAGATGTGATGAGGCCCTAAATCTACCTCTGAAAGACAGACAAACTAAATTGCTCAAAAGTAATTGCTATGAACTGTATGCTTATTATAATTAAAACATACAATATTGACTTTTAAAGCCACTGTTTGTGATGCCAGTTCAGTGCTTATGTCAGCAACAATTGTTATTTGGGGTACTGTTTTTTCCCCCCCCTGAGAATACTGATATGTAATTAGCTATATTAATCAGCATAAAATGTAATTAATTTGATTAAAAATTAATTGATTGAAAGCCGTAATTGTGTAAAAAATAATAAACTTGTGACTGTGCAGTTATACTCCCCTTAACAGACTTTTTGCATGTCTACAAGGAGTGCATTTGCTTTAATGCTCAAATAAAAATTCCATAATCTTGCATAATGGGTAATCTATATTGTTTGAGGATGGTAGGGTATAGTGGTGGGTGGTTTGACCAAAAATCTGTATCACACTTTTTAACATTTTTTTAAGGATTCTGGCCATTTCACGGTTTATCACATTTTTACCATGATTTGGGCCTTTATATGAATCAGAATGACAATTATGTTACAAGTTATTCATTTCATAAATTGTTGTGTGCTGGGATATTTGCTTGGTTTATTAGAATTAGTTGTGTGTTATAATAGTTCTAAAAGCTCTCTAACCATTAGTCAGAAGTATATGCAGTTAACAGGGATCCCCTCTCAATTCATGATGCTGTCTACGTTGCTTAGCATCTTGTACTGGTATGCCGTTTTTTTTTTAATTTATACCATGTGGGTATTTCATACCAGTTTACAGTTTGAACGGGTAGATCGCCCAGCACTAGAAGGATTGAATGAGTGTGCTGAATAATTTACACTATGGTTTTATGTAGATTAGGTTACGTAATGCACTATATAAGGGAATGGGACAAATACAGAGACAGCTGAACTTTTATACGACTTGGTTTAGGACATGTTTGTTCATAATAGTATGACGAATAATTATAATTCATCAAAGCACTTTATCTGTTCCAACTAGCAATGTAATGGTATGATGATTTTACGGTACACGGCTTTAAATGATAGTATAAGTTAGGATTTGTATTTTTAATAAAAACAAAAGTAAAGAAATAATTTTTCCATTTAATCTACGTTTAATTAAAAGATAGTCATAAAAAATGTCTAAATTGCGCCTTTCTCCTCTTTCATTTAAGTGTCACTCACCTTGCCAGATGCGCAAACGCCAGAACACTGAAATGTCGGAGCCTGAGCCTCTTTTTCTCCCACCAAAGCGGCTGAAATCCGCTGTATGGGAGTATTTTGGGTATTTAAAAGACCCAGGAGGCACCATCAATGCTGATGGTTATCCAGTTTGTAGATTGTGTCGGAAAAAAGTGTCGGCTCGGACAGGCAACACTTCAAACATGGCACACCATCTCCGTGACCACCACCCCAAGGAATTTGCAAAGATGAAGGTAAATGAAAATACTGTGAATTGCTAATAAATAAAAGGTAATAAACTATGGATCGCCTTTCATAATTTTTTTTTGTTGGTGCTTTCTGACGTTTACATATGCAGGCCGAATGTTTAATGCAGAAAAAAACTACCCCAAAAATTACTGTGAGGAAAAAAACAGCAATAAATAAGCACCAAATGTAATGAATGATTATACCGTTTTCATTGTACCGTGATGATTTCATACCGTTACACTCCTAGTTCATTTTGCCTCAAAGCCACTGTCCCACTGTATCCAACACGTTAAAGGGATAGTTCACACAAAAATAAAAATGATCATTTACTGATCGTCAGGCTGTTCAGAACCTGTAAGTTGTTGTCTTTTGTGAAACACAAAAAAAGGCATTTTGAAAAAAAATTTTTTGATCATACAATGAATATCAATGGGGTCCAAAACAACATTGGACCCCATTGACTTTCATTGTTTGTACAAAAGCAGTTTCAAGAGTGACTCATATCCTTTATTAAGTCATTCATTCATTATTGATTTCAAACCTGGAAAATGTTCTTAATGAATGAATGAGGCTCTAATAAATATCACATTTTTTAGGACAACACATACTTATTATTTAACGTCTTAAAGTGTTTTAGCGTTTAATGTGCCTTGGTTTCACCACGTTTAAGCACAGAAAATAAACGTCTTGTTTTGACTAATTTTCTTTGTCCTACAGAGAAAGCATTCTGTGGTGTGTAGGAGAAGAATAAGGGATGCACCAAGCGTTGAAGCACCAAGCAGTGATGGACCAAGCATTCTGGAAAATCAAATGGCAGAATCATCGTCTGAAGCGAAAGAAGACATGATTGATCCCATCACCATTTATCATCAAACATCACAATCAAGGCTAAATACCCTGGTTTTTAATTTTATTGTGGAGGATGTGCAACCCATTTCAATTCTAGAGCAACCTGGCTTCAGGAAGTTGATTGAAGCTTTAAGCAGGGGCAATAAAGTCATGTGTCGAAATACTTTCATCACCAGGCTTGAAGTAGCGTCCAATAAAATGAAAGGGGAGCTAAAAGCGAAACTTGACAAAGTGCAGACATTGTGTACAACTGCTGATGTATGGTCAGTGCAGGACAGAAGTTATTTTGGAATGACTTGTCACTGGCTTGAGGACAATCTCGAAAGGAAGTCTGCTGCTCTTGCCTGCACGAGAATCCCCATCAGCTATACTTGTGAAACCATCATCGCTAAAATTCAAGAAATTCATTCTTCCTATAACATCGAGAGCAAAGTTCAGGCCACCGTCACTGACAACGGTAACAATTTCGTGAAAGCCTTCAAAGAATTCTCTTCCGAGGATGACCAAGAAGTGGAGCAAAGTCGTTTTGAGGATTTGGGCAGTATTCTGTGTGATGGAGAAATGGGTGGAGACTTCTTTCTGAGTTACTTCTTACCACCCCACCAACGGTGTGCTTCTCAAACACTGAACTCGATTGCCTCGAAGGATCTAGCGGATGCCGTCTCAAAGGGACAGGCAGGTAAACTGCACAGCAGTGCAATTGAAAAATGTGCAGCAATATGGCACAAGGCCCAATCATCCACTGAAGCTGCTGATGCAATTGAATCCATTGCAAAAATGAATTTCACAGTTCCTTGTTTGAATCAGTGGAGCTCAGAATACTACGCCATTAACAAGCTGATGTCACTTACTGATTCACAGCTCAACCAGCTCTCAGAAGTCTTGGGTGTTCCACATTTTACACCTGATGAAACCGCGTATCTCACAGAATATACTGACGTCTTCAAACCAGTGGCTTTTGCGCTTGACCTTCTGCACGGAGAAGAAAAGTGCTTCCTTGGCATTGTGATACCAACGTTGTTGACCCTTAAAAGGAAGCTCGAGGAGAAGGCAGCAAACACCCGCCTTTTCTCCAAGGTCATTGACAGCACAGTCAAGGCAATTGACTCTCGCTTCAAGCAGGTGTTTGAAAGTTCTGATGCCAGATTGGCCACAGCCACCATGCCACAGTTTAGACTCTGGTGGTTACCAGAAGATGAGAGGGAGAGTCTTCGAGCACAGTTGATCACTGAAGTTTTACAGGTCGACCAAGGGACCGAAGAAACCGAGACCAACGGAGGAGGCCCTGTTCATGAGGATGAATTCTTCTCGTATGGACCTGGAAGTTCTGGCAACAAAGGTGGAAAGAGGGAAGCCGCGGAAGAGGTGTGGCTGTATCTCCAGGGCACAAACAAAGATCTGAAATGCCTAAATGAATTTCCAGGCATGAAAAAAGTGTTCATCAAGTTCAATACAACTCTACCCTCAAGTGCCCCAGTGCAAGAGCTCTTCAGCAATGGGAGCAATATTGTGACCCCAAAAGGACATCACCTCTCAGATGAACATTTTGAGCGTGTACTCCTTTTACGTTACAACAGCAAAATAACCACTGCTTTGGAATAATTAATGGGGTAACACTGCTGATGTTTATTGTAAATAGATTCTTTTTATTTGATTTTATTAGTTTGAATAGTTAATAGGATATACTGTATGTTCTCTCCCTTTTTATTTTTTTCCAAAATATTACAAAGTTATTCCATACAAAAGCCTGTGCCACCAAAAAGCTTTGGTAAACATTTATTTCTTAGTAAACATGCAAACAAAAAGAAATTTGTTACTTTTTAGACTAGTGTTTCTAGAAATGTTCATGCAACATGTTAATCGTGGATACGTCTAAATGGACAAAGATTAGTTCTTACTCTAAATTATGATTTGATGTTAAGAGCTGTTGTTCCGTGCTTAAAATGCATAACTGTAAACACATGTTAAAGCACCAGGTTGCTTAATTAGCAACCGTAAACAAAATATATCACTTGGTGGAAGAATTGTCCATTCTGATTCTTGTTACTAATAAATGTATATTTTGAACATTTGGTCTCTTGTTTTATGGTTTCTGCAATCTTTTAAGACCAACAAGTCACTCAAAGCCACACATTAGTAATTTTGGGCAGCTAACTTGTGTATTCATTTGTAGTAAAATCCCACTAATATAGTCTTGTTTTAAGTAGTATTATTAGACAATTTTTGTTTATGACACAAGCCTTTATTTTAAAGAAATTTGTTTAGCTATAGTGAGCCTTTCATAAAACCCTTGGGACCATACACCATGTGAGTGGACTTTATTATGATCCGAGCTGTCATGCAGGCGTGCCAGACTTAGCTTTTAGAAGATCTAACAGCTTGATTAAATGATTCAGGCTTGTCCCTCCAGGAATGGTGTTTCATACCCCTGATCTTATCCACCTTATTCCTAACGAGCCTACTGCGTTTTAAATTATGGGCGGCACTTCTGGTTTGGGTAAGTTCCACTCAAAAAGACTGCAACAAATAATTTCAGATTGCGCTACAATATACTCCTCTTTCTCTCTCTCTCTCTCTCTATATATATATATACTCCTTATAGTCATTTGGACTGAATGGGCTGTAAATTTTCATTCATTTTCTATTTTCAGGAGAATAACGTTACGTGATATAACAATATCTAAAGAATAGCTCTTTTCAGCCCGCTGCATTATTTTCCTCCTGCTTATTTTAATGTTTCCTTTGTATTCTGCTGTATGTAAATGAAAGAAGACAACATAGGCCTATACTGTGCATTTGTGGTCTGCTCTCCCGATTAAATTTTAATATAAACCATGAATAATTTCCTGGAATGCACTAAGAATCTTTCATTTTTCTCCCCAAATCCTCATGTATTTTTCCAGGTTTGTTTTCACATGAATGCTGTAAAATGTAATTGTTACGAAATATACACGTCCATAAAATTGATGGATAGGAGGAGGATCTTGAGGAGTTACTCGGTATATTGAAAGTCATTTGTTAATGCGTTAAACTTTTACATTTCCTTTTAATGATTGATGGTTGAAGGGTGAGTAAAATAATGTCACCTCATTGCACCCAGTTTTTGAAAATGCTTATTACTGAGTTCATAGAGTGAAACTTTTGCTAATTGTTTACAGTGTAAACAGAAGTTACTCCCATAATTTGTGCAAAGTGTCATGGGGCGTAGGAAAAAGGTGGATAGAGCAGTGGTTTTCAGTCCCGGTCCTGGGGACCCATAGCACTGCACATTTTGATTGTCTTGCATATTCGGCCCTGATTCACATCATCATCAGGGGCTGGATTCACGAAAATTCTTCTTAACTGCCATTTTCTTCTTATTTTCTAATTTAAGAAAAAAGTTACGAATATTTTGTATTCCCAAAAAGTCTTTTAAGAATGTTTTTATCTTTTTTCTTAAGATAGTTCGTAAGACAAAACTTAAGAAGAATTCACATTCTTGAAAAGAATCTTCTTAAAAATCATCCTAAATAACTTAAAGTTAGGCTAACCTCAGACTTATCTTAAATACCAGTTGTAGGAATGATTTAACTAATTTATTGGGTTATTTCAAATTAATTGTTATATTTAAGCATTACAACAACACTTTTGGTTCCTTGCCGCTGTCGCCTCTGGCTTGCTTAGTTGGGGACACTTCATTTCCAGCTATATCGTTGACTTGATTGCAAAGATACTATTTAAACGAGAAGAAAAGTGCTTCCTTGGCATTGTGATACCAACGTTGTTGACCCTTAAAAGGAAGCTCGAGGAGAAGGCAGCAAACACCCGCCTTTTCTCCAAGGTCATTGACAGCACAGTCAAGGCAATTGACTCTCGCTTCAAGCAGGTGTTTGAAAGTTCTGATGCCAGATTGGCCACAGCCACCATGCCACAGTTTAGACTCTGGTGGTTACCAGAAGATGAGAGGGAGAGTCTTCGAGCACAGTTGATCACTGAAGTTTTACAGGTCGACCAAGGGACCGAAGAAACCGAGACCAACGGAGGAGGCCCTGTTCATGAGGATGAATTCTTCTCGTATGGACCTGGAAGTTCTGGCAACAAAGGTGGAAAGAGGGAAGCCGCGGAAGAGGTGTGGCTGTATCTCCAGGGCACAAACAAAGATCTGAAATGCCTAAATGAATTTCCAGGCATGAAAAAAGTGTTCATCAAGTTCAATACAACTCTACCCTCAAGTGCCCCAGTGCAAGAGCTCTTCAGCAATGGGAGCAATATTGTGACCCCAAAAGGACATCACCTCTCAGATGAACATTTTGAGCATGTACTCCTTTTACGTTACAACAGCAAAATAACCACTGCTTTGGAATAATTAATGGGGTAACACTGCTGATGTTTATTGTAAATAGATTCTTTTTATTTGATTTTATTAGTTTGAATAGTTAATAGGATATACTGTATGTTCTCTCCCTTTTTATTTTTTTCCAAAATATTACAAAGTTATTCCATACAAAAGCCTGTGCCACCAAAAAGCTTTGGTAAACATTTATTTCTTAGTAAACATGCAAACAAAAAGAAATTTGTTACTTTTTAGACTAGTGTTTCTAGAAATGTTCATGCAACATGTTAATCGTGGATACGTCTAAATGGACAAAGATTAGTTCTTACTCTAAATTATGATTTGATGTTAAGAGCTGTTGTTCCGTGCTTAAAATGCATAACTGTAAACACATGTTAAAGCACCAGGTTGCTTAATTAGCAACCGTAAACAAAATATATCACTTGGTGGAAGAATTGTCCATTCTGATTCTTGTTACAAATAAATGTATATTTTGAACATTTGGTCTCTTGTTTTATGGTTTCTGCAATCTTTTAAGACCAACAAGTCACTCAAAGCCACACATTAGTAATTTTGGGCAGCTAACTTGTGTATTCATTTGTAGTAAAATCCCACTAATATAGTCTTGTTTTAAGTAGTATTATTAGACAATTTTTGTTTATGACACAAGCCTTTATTTTAAAGAAATTTGTTTAGCTATAGTGAGCCTTTCATAAAACCCTTGGGACCATACACCATGTGAGTGGACTTTATTATGATCCGAGCTGTCATGCAGGCGTGCCAGACTTAGCTTTTAGAAGATCTAACAGCTTGATTAAATGATTCAGGCTTGTCCCTCCAGGAATGGTGTTTCATACCCCTGATCTTATCCACCTTATTCCTAACGAGCCTACTGCGTTTTAAATTATGGGCGGCACTTCTGGTTTGGGTAAGTTCCACTCAAAAAGACTGCAACAAATAATTTCAGATTGCGCTACAATATACTCCTCTTTCTCTCTCTCTCTCTCTCTATATATATATATACTCCTTATAGTCATTTGGACTGAATGGGCTGTAAATTTTCATTCATTTTCTATTTTCAGGAGAATAACGTTACGTGATATAACAATATCTATAGAATAGCTCTTTTCAGCCCGCTGCATTATTTTCCTCCTGCTTATTTTCATGTTTCCTGTGTATTCTGCTGTATGTAAATGAAAGAAGACAACATAGGCCTATACTGTGCATTTGTGGTCTGCTCTCCCGATTAAATTTTAATATAAACCATGAATAATTTCCTGGAATGCACTAAGAATCTTTCATTTTTCTCCCCAAATCCTCATGTCTTTTTCCAGGTTTGTTTTCACATGAATGCTGTAAAATGTAATTGTTACGAAATATACACGTCCATAAAATTGATGGATAGGAGGAGGATCTTGAGGAGTTACTCGGTATATTGAAAGTCATTTGTTAATGCGTTAAACTTTTACATTTCCTTTTAATGATTGATGGTTGAAGGGTGAGTAAAATAATGTCACCTCATTGCACCCAGTTTTTGAAAATGCTTATTACTGAGTTCATAGAGTGAAACTTTTGCTAATTGTTTACAGTGTAAACAGAAGTTACTCCCATAATTTGTGCAAAGTGTCATGGGGCGTAGGAAAAAGGTGGATAGAGCAGTGGTTTTCAGTCCCGGTCCTGGGGACCCATAGCACTGCACATTTTGATTGTCTTGCATATTCGGCCCTGATTCACATCATCATCAGGGGCTGGATTCACGAAAATTCTTCTTAACTGCCATTTTCTTCTTATTTTCTAATTTAAGAAAAAAGTTACGAATATTTTGTATTCCCAAAAAGTCTTTTAAGAATGTTTTTATCTTTTTTCTTAAGATAGTTCGTAAGACAAAACTTAAGAAGAATTCACATTCTTGAAAAGAATCTTCTTAAAAATCATCCTAAATAACTTAAAGTTAGGCTAACCTCAGACTTATCTTAAATACCAGTTGTAGGAATGATTCTAAATAACTTAAAGTCAGGCTAACCTCAGACTTATCTTAAATACCAGTTGTAGGAATGATTTAACTAATTTATTGGGTTATTTCAAATTAATTGTTATATTTAAGCATTACAACAACACTAGCTACATATAATACACCGTAGGACTATTATAGGGCACACGTTTTCTGAAGCGTCACACCAATGACAGTAAACTGATCGACCATGATTGTGTGTGACATTTGCTGAATTCAAAATTCAGTAACAACTCTACAACTCGTTTTTAATTTTAGCGTTTATATACAACATAATTTTTTGACAATCTCTTTCATAATCATAAACACACAGAGGACTCGTGCACTCTATGGAGAGTGCAAAAAGAAAAAAAACCCGGCGCAAATGAATGAAACAGTTCGCTTCATCTTAAGAAAGGACATTTAAAAGTAGGCTTTCTTAAGAACATACTTGAGAATTTCTTAGAATTTTTGAAGAATTGCACTTAAGAACATTCTTACGAACTTTGTAGAATTTATCTTAAGAAATCTCTTATGAACATTTTTGTGAATCCGGCCCCAGGGCCCGTATTTATCAAGCCTCTGAGAATTAGTCGCAAGAACGCTGCTAAGAATTGACTTAAGTGTAAAAAACTTATTGGCTCAAAGCTGCGCTTAAAAGTTAGTT